CAAACATTAGGATTTTAAAACTGTTGTTCTGATCACACTACAAGAACCATCAACAAGCTTTAGGATTTTAAAACTGTTGTTCTGGCCATACTACAAAAACCATCAACAAACTTTAGGATTTTAAAACTGTTGTTCTGACCACACTACAAGAACCATCAACAAGCTTTAGGATTTTAAAACTGTTGTTCTGGCCACACTACAAGAACCATCAACAAGCTTTAGGATTTTAAAACTGTTGTTCTTATTCTTTGAAGAACTCTGCATATAACTCACAGCCACATTGAAGTACTTGGAATTCTTTGAGATATAGTTAAGAGTTCAAGTATAGTTTAAGTTACTGTTTAAGTGATCCTAGAGACAAATGCCTGTGTTGCTCAAGGGTGTCATCAATCTCTAGCTTCCTCATCACAAATCAAGTTATAAAGTATTGTATTTTGATTTCATATGTTGTTTAACCTATTATTGTTGGTAATCAAAATATAACAATATAATTATACTATATGTACTTCTGTTCTGCACACATCACATTTATGAAATATTTACCCTAACAGCCAGTTAAATTTCACATCTTCATTCAGTTCAGCCTCAAGAAAGCTACATATGCACATAGCCAAAACTTGCCAAAAAAAGATACAAAAACACAGGTGTTTCTCTTGTAATTTTTCTCTCTCAATAACTGATTAGCCATGTTGTGAGTCTGACAGAATACAATGTTTTACAGAATTACTCTTGATCCACTTGTGTAATTACCTGTAAACTATAGAAAATTAATACAAACTAAATCCACAAAGTGGCTAATATAGAACGTACTGGAGACTTATTTGTAAGGAATGTTAGTTAGTGTACTATATAATGTTATGAAAACAAATATATTTGAAACTCACTACATTAAATTGTTCTTCAAACAGTCAAGACATCCTGTAAGTGGAAGATATAAAGCACCTCAAAAGTAGAATAACTACATTTCAATACAGAAAAGTTTTACAGATGGGTAGGATTGATACTTATCAAAGAAATACAAAACTCTATTAGCACAATTTTTGCTTCAACAATTTTGTAAGAATGAAAATATTTATTTTATTTTTTCTCTTTATCACTGAATGACATTGGACTTTTTCTTCCAATTAAGTATGTATTTTTCCAATAGAACTTTCAATAACTCAACAAACCTCGTAATCATATATAAGTTCCACTGTGATTGTGAGGCTTCCAAAGTTCTACTTTCCCTTCTTCCTTAATCACCGGAGTAGTTGTCACTGCCGTAGTTGTTTTTTTCAGGTTTCCTAATGATACTAGAGCACTAGCTATGGCTATACCACACTGGCCTTGGGGAGTGTAATTCTCGTTATTAGTTGGCAATTTGACAATCAGGCTAAGTACTGCTGCTTTACCCCCCAAACATGGTTCTAAAGCCACAGGGGCAGGATATGACTGCAAACCCAACATAAAAAAAGCTTAAAACCCTTGTAACATCATGAGAAAAGATTACAAGAAAATACGATCAATATAATCATGTTAGAAGTTAAGACATAAACTTTAATATTAAATATAAAATCTAATCATCAGACATTTTCTGTCTTGTATGTCAACATCCAGTGTTTTTCTTAAAACTTCAAAATATCAATTAATGTTCTATGTATCATCAACGTATTATGTACAAATTACTATTTCTGGTCAAGAATATACTTGTTAATCTTACTGTATAAACAAATGTGACTATGTATGACCCCTGAAAATCTTACACAGAAGGGTCAAATGAAATGTAAAATTGTTGGATACTGTTAACTTTCATGGTAAACTATTGTCAGACCACTGCTGGGAATTACAACAAATGGGATGATTATATATATATTAATCATAAATAAGTCCACCATATTACTCAGTTCTCAATATAAACATTAAATCTCTTTGTATATTTCTTATATATATATTTGATGTTCAAAAAGTCCTACATATGACTCTCCATTTTCAACATGCCACATCTGCACTGTTTTGGAAATTTCTACCTGTAGTATAAAATTACAAATTTTACTCCACATGACTAGACTTATAAACTTACAGAATCAGTATTTTCGCTAATTTCAGACAAGTCAAGGTTATCTACTGATAGAAGAACTCCAGCAAATGGTCTGCTAGCCATCTGTTCCATCTCAACAAACAATTGCTAGAAATAAAGCCATTTCATGTTATGTACTTTTAACACTAAGAACATAAAAACTTATTGAAATGTAACCATTTGAAGAACTAGTAGGTTTATAACATGATAAATTTACTGACAGAGAATACTTTATGTATCTCTAGTCATAACCGCAAGAAGTAGGATAACCTTCAAAACTCTAAGATAGATAAATATATTTTTCATTAAAATGTATTTCACAAAATTGTCCTCAAGTTTTTACTACATAAACTGATACGTAAAAGTTTAATTTCGTAAAATTAAACATTTGTAAATGAAATGATCAACAATTATACAGTTTTAAAGTTCATATAAAGATTCTTTGTTTGAAGCTTAAAAGTTTTTTAGAGTTTTATCCTTATCAAGGTTTAATATGGGTATTTAATATATTTCATAATTAAAAAAGTGTACCAGGCCTTACAATTTAAATTGGTGTAACCAAATATATACACTATCTTCCAATAAAATTAGATCACTTGTAGAAATGGCAACTATACTAATGATATAAATACATCAATACAGTACTTTATAACAATATATGCATGCAGTATGCAACTGCAAGAAATAAAAGGTTTTGTGTATTGACAGGTTATGCAGGGTTTCAAATTTACTATGAAATGCAATTTGGAAGTAAAATATTACCTGACACAAATAAGGTGAGATACCAACTTGTAAAATACTACTTGGCACAAATAAGGTGAGATACCAACTTGTAAAATACTACTTGGCACAAGTAAGGTGAGATACCAACTTGTAAAATATTACCTGACACAAGTAAGGTGAGATACCAACTTGTAAAATATTACCTGACACAAGTAAGGTGAGATACCAACTTGTAAAATATTACCTGACACAAGTAAGGTGAGATACCAACTTGTAAAATACTACCTGGCACAAGTAAGGTGAGATACCAACTTGTAAAAATATTACCTGACATAAGTAAGATGAGATACCAACTTGTAAAATATTACCTGACACAAGTAAGGTGAGATACCAACTTGTAAAAATACTACCTGACATAAGTAAGATGAGATACCAACTTGTAAAATATTACCTGACACAAGTAAGGTGAAATACCAACTTGTAAAATATTACCTCACACAAGTAAGGTGAGATACCAACTTGTAAAATATTACCTGACACAAGTAAGGTGTGTTTTTCACAAGTAAGTTCTACAGTCAAATTTACTTAAAAAATTCACAGAAACAATCAAAATAAACCAGCAACGTTGTGAAATTGACTACTATTTGTTGTTTATAGTAAGGGTACAGAAAGCACCACTTCTAATATGTCAATACTTTTATTTTTAATTCCTCACAAAGCTACTCGAGGGCTATCAGTGCTAGCCATCTCTAATTTAGAAGTGATGGACTAGAGGGAAGGCAGCTGGTCAACACCACCTGCAACCAATTCTTCGGCTATGAAAAAACAATGGGATTGACCATCACATTATAACACACCAATGGTCAAAAAAGAAGAGCATGTCCAGTTACGGGATTCAAACACACAATTCACAGCTCCCTATGCTATTCCCACTGAATCCTCACTCTTGAGAATTAGCACAGCACTGTTTAGATGTGTTTTTTTTCTTCTTTCTCTTACATGTGACTACCGTTTACAACTGTACTTCATTGACATTTCAGTATCTTTTTCAACAGTTTTCTTTTACTGTGTTTGCAATCAATTGTTTCAAATTTCTTTTTTTGCATTTGTTTATTGTTACCAAATTATACAGTAAATTAGAATGACTTCGCGATTAAGTGTATTGACAATGGAAGTTCCCGTTACGGTAAACAATAATTCTGGTAGGAGTAACCAGGCATCAGGTTTGATTTTATCAGCTGAGGAAGTACAAGCCTTAATTCATGGGGAGCTAGATTTCCACATCAGCCAGCAATTTCTTCCCATTTTCAACCTGACAGTGTTTCTGAGGATGAATATAATCAAAGAGAAGAAATTGGATTCACTTTTTCTGGCACCTTCTTATTATGGTCTATTACACTCTGCACCTCTACAAGCTCTAAACGAAGAACACCTGCAGTGGGGAGGAAGGTGTGTGTGAGAGGAGGTAAGTTCAAGTAATAGTCTCCCATTAAGTGACACTTACTGATATCTATAAACATATATATAAATACCACTGGGTATGCCACTAGTGGTCTTGCAGAACATTCCATCTCTACAGTGAGTGTTATAATGTAATCAGTAAATAGTGCTGGGTTGAGGCAAAGCATACCTTACCAGGCAACAACCACCACAAAGTGGAATCCCATTATCAGTGGTGAAAACAAGGGTTGATGAAAATAAAAACATAAATGTCAAAGGCAAATGGACATGTGTAGAATCATCACAGGAAGAAAACAATATCCACCTGAGGAAGATACAGCCAGATTGTGCAGATAATGACTGATGAAGGTATTGGGAGTAGGTCTTAATGATCTTCTCCAAAAGATGGCAAAGCAAGTTGCCAAAAACATGGTGATATGATGAATTTCATGAGAAGAAACATGGATAAATCCAAATATGCCAGCCTAATGAGTTGACAAACCCAACCAGTTAGCATGACAAGGGATAGATAATGAGAAACAGAAGGGTTCCGGGGGAATAAAAAGTTGGTAACATGAACCCCAAAGGGAAGAAGTACATGCCACATAACACCGTAAGGAGGAGAAGAAAATTGGTCTTGAGGGAGAGATGGTACCTGGAACATGTAGAAAAAGGATATAAAGAACCACATTGAGATTCCAATCAGACAACTCAAAGGAATGTGAAGGATGCATGACTCAAAGGAGCAGAAAAGGAGGGAAATGACAGGGGAAGACAAAACTATATGAAATTTGGAGAAAGAAAAGGTGTTCAACAAGGCTGCCTGATAGCTAGACATATTGGAAGAGGACAAGCTTTCGTCAAACAACCAGCTGAAGAATTGGGAAAAATGAGGAACGGAAGGGTGAAAAGGATAGAAGCCATGTTGAATAGACCAAAGGTAGATCACTGCCTTTGGTAAATGGACATGGAAGAAGGTCAGATGGATTGGGAAAGGAAAGATCCAACACATGAAGTCAATCCCTGGGCTGAAGTAATGGGCTTAACCAAAGCCATGCATGAAGACAGAGTGTGGTGATGTCTGAATGAACAATGCCCGACTGAGGTTGATGGAGTAGACACCGAAACAGAGATAAGGGTAGGGGAGCTTGTACAACTAAAGTTTGAAGCAGAGGGAACCAATGTTGTGATGGCCAATACGAAGCTACAACTAGGACTAGACACAGAGAAGTTTGGATTAGGATTAGGGATAGAACTCTAGAGAGGAGTTGATAAGGAAAGGTAAGCATAGATGTGCTGACCTTAACTGTCTGGAATGAATATGTCCACTCCCAGAGCTAGCAGATGTGGAACAGGAGACCAACAGAAAGGAAGTTTGGTGTTCCAGTGGGTGGTGAAAACATTGATATGAGATGTTCCCAGCTGAGAATACACCCACTGAAAGTCCTGTGGATCAAGGGGCTACTATTTGGAGTAAATTTTGTTGGGATGAGATGATTGATCCTCAACCAGATTCAGGGCACCAGGAATGTGGCAAGCTTATACCAGCATGGGGTGACTGTGGACCAAGAAAAGGAGATCCAGTGTCTGAAAGCACAGATATCTGAATTTAGCATCCCCTTGGTTGGTAATATAAGTGACCACTTTGGAGTTGTTGGGGTGTGCCATAACCATATTCCCTCACAGGAGAGGAAGGAAGTGGGACAAAGGTTGATGAATTCCCATACGATTAGAAATGTTGATATGGAGAGTAAACTTCTTGACCGACCAGAGACTGGAATAAATCTCCCAAGTGTCAAGGTAAGCACCCCAACCCTCTAAAATGATGTGTCAGTGAACAGATGTAAATCCAGACGAGGTGGATGGTCTGGTTCCTGCTAGCCACCAAGCCAGCCCCGGCTCTAACTGGGGAAGGAAGGGTAAAAAGAGTGGTCCAAGGGATCTGAGTAGTAGTTCCAGTGATCAAGGAGTGTCCACTGATGGGAATGCATATGAGCTCAACTCATGAGAATGAGAGCTTCCGAGCAAGCCCACATTCCTAAAAGATATAAAACATCTCGAGCTGTGAGAGAATGTGAGGTGAGGGCCTTGTGGACTGCTTGCTCCATATTCCAAAGATGGAAAGGCTGGGCCTAACTGAGGTTGGAATTGAAGAAAACCCCCAAATGAACAAGGTATTGAGGGAGTAAGAACAGATTTCTCCACTTTTATTAGGAATCTTCCCTTCATGTTGCTCCTTCTAGGAGCAGATGAGTGTGGTCTCTGGTCTGTGAATGGGAAGAAGCAAGCAGGAGCCAGTTATCTATGTAATGATGAGTGCAAAGACTCATCAAGTGAAGATGTCGGGCAAAAAATTTTACCATCCAACAAAAAACATAAAGAGCTGAGATTCGTCCAAACAGTAGGTCACGAAACTGAAACACTTCACTTCTAGCTATAAATAACTATTGATGGTGTGGGTACTGTGGGGATGAACCCTGAATTGTAGAGTACAAGGAGAAAAATTTGATTCTAGTATCAAGGATGTAGGAAATGTGAATGAAGAAAAGCTCAGTCCTATAAATGGGAAAGAAAGGAACACATCAGCAATGTATCAATGCAGAATAATTAAGTCCTACACTGATGAAAATTAGGATTATAAGGCAAATATTTAACAATGGAAAAAAAATTTTTCCAATAGAATACTGAATTAGATGTTACTAGTAGGAATGATATGTATAGTACAAACTGGTTAAACATACCTAATTGACAAAGTATTCATTAATATTGAACTGACAAAACATTGAATTGTACCTACTCTACAAAGTATGTAATAATAACAAACGTGTAAACAGACTAAAATTACCTAGAAAACAAAGAAATAATCAATATCTAACTTACAATAAAGTTAAATTTACTTAGACGCCAAAAGACATAAATATCTAACTTATCAAAGTCCGAGCACTGATGACGTGAAATACTTAATTCTCCTGTATGTAGAGAAGTACAAAGCCACACAAAGGGCATCTGACCCACACCAAGTGTAAAGTGTGCAAGTCAAAAAACTTACTACTGATGCACTAGGAGATATGGAAACAATAGGAATAAATGAGGACAGAACCTCCACCAAAGTGAATGACAAGGAGACACACCAACAAAAGCATTAAAAAGAAAACTAGTGAAACCACCCTCGTCTCAAACATACAGAATATGTGTCGACCTGAGTAACCAGCCGTAAAAAAAGATGTGGAAGATTAAAACTTCTGAAGAGGTGTAGAGTGTGACAGACCAAAATAAGAAGATGCCAGAAAAAAGGGAGTCCAAATTATCTTCTCCTTAATTGTATTCTTCCTCAGCAACATTGTCAGTTTGAAAAGGAAAAGAAATTACCAGCCAAACATACGAGTCTAGCTCCCTGGAAATTAAGGTCTGTATCTCCTCTGCAGATAAAGTTGAACCTGATTCCTGGGAAGTTGTATCAGTAGTGTTGTCAACTGTAATGGGAACTACTGTAGTCAGTATATTGAATTGCATAAGTTCTCGTATAATTTGGTAACAAGAAATAAATGCAAAAAAAATTTTGTTAAAACAATTGAATGCTAACACAGTAAAAGAAAACTGTTGGAAAACAATTTGAAATGGCAGATAAGCACAATCATTAACAATATCCACATGTGAAAAAACACACATCTAAACAAAGCTGTGTCAATCAAGAAAGTGAGGATTGAGTGGGAATAGCACAGGGAGCTAGTTGCACCAATATAGGTGGTGCAATACTATTGGTGGAGAGTAGTCACATGGTATGTACATGTTCAAAAATGGCACAAAATTGATGGGATATATAGACTGGTATGATGAGTGCAAAATTTGTTAGCAATGCTTAGAAGGCAGAAAGAAGATTGAGATAGCCTTGTATAAGAGGAGATAAGACCATATCAGAAAACTCAGTAAAACAAACAATCTATAAAAAGTTGGCTATATTTAACTGTAGTTTTTAAATATAGGCTTTAATTCTATTTTGGTTCATCATATTCACAGTTTTCTTTCACAACTTTTCTGAGAGAAATGATTTTATTTGAATGCTGAAGGTGCATCATATCTATTCAATAATAGTATATAGTGTTAAAAAATCTTTGCATCATATCTATTCAATAATAGTATATAGTGTTAAAAAATCTTTGCATCATATCTATTAAATAATAGTATATAGTGTTAAAAAATCTTTGCATCATATCTATTAAATAATAGTATATAGTGTTAAAAAATCTTTGCTATAATTATCATCTTTTGCAACACAAGTTGGTGAAAAATTACAATTCATCAACTTAATATAGTTCATATAGTAACGGTTGTTGTCATGCAGTTTGCTATTATAAATTGCACTAATGTCTGCCACATCCCAGCCAACACTAAATATAGCAGATATAGTGTAGTTGGCATATCATTACAGACTTTATTTTCAATTGGAACTTTTTATTTATAAATATAACACAAGTCTGTTTATATTCCCCAAGATTTTCTTAAAAGTATGTTTAAAATGGTATAGTTTGCAGGACACCAAAGTTTTTCACTCTAAAGAATTTATCATCTAGAAATAAAACCCTCATATTTGCAAATATGAGTGGAATCGAAGTAAGTTTACGAGAGGGGAAGTTCCACCCTCCTGCCCTATGTAGAGAAAACTCCTGTATTCACGTGTAAAAACAATAGGTTGAAAGAAGCATGTTTACTTGATGTATCAGACCAAAACATTTTTTAATTTTTTTTTATAAAATTTCATTTTGTTCCTACCAAATAAAAACTTTCAGCACAAAGGTACTGGCAGATACAAGTACTGCTGTGAAACTTAATGTTTTTATTAATACATTTATCAAGTCCTGCTTAAATTAATGGATATATACATATAACTTTCTTATACCTTAATACTGCTATTTAGTTTTAATTTTTCTTTATCTTAACATTATCAGTCATTAAATATTTATTGTTGTAACATGTTCTATTTTGTTAGATTATTTAGTAACAATAATGCCAAGTCCAGTCCACATGACAATAATGCCAAGTCCAGTCCACATAACAATAATGCCAAGTCCAGTCCACATAACAATAATGCCAAGTCCAGTCCACATAACAATAATGCCAAGTCCAGTCCACATAACAATAATGCCAAGTCCAGTCCACATAACAATAATGAAGGAGTTTATATTTCTATAAACTACATTCACTTTGACATAAGATGTAAGTTTAAGGTTACAAACACCATTTCAACAAACATTCCATGTTAATGATACTATGACTACCTTACAAAAATAAACTTACTTATGCAACTGAATATACACAATAACTCTAATTGAATAACTTTTCTTATACTGAACTGATCTCTTATACTAAATAATTCACTGATTCTCATCAACTTTATTCATTGATTACTCGTACTTATAAACAATGTACTAGCACCTCAAAATACCAAGCAAATGTTATTGTTTATTACATCTTCATGATTAGCAGCTCCCTCGAGCAAACAAATAAATCATAATATTGAAAATATAGTACACAATAGTGAAAACTGATTACTTGTATAATGATGTTAATATGAAATTTATTTTTCAATGTGAAATCCTTAATATCAATAAAATATCACATTTTAGGCTGTGATAACTGAAATTTAGTGTTAGAATAAATAAGTTATCTAGGATAAAATCTGAAACATTTCTAAGTATTAAATATTTGGACTTTAGGCTGGCAAAAGATACTACATCTTAGTTTTCTATTAACCTTCAAATTACTGAATTGTTTACACACCATTCACTATTTGTGTAATCCATATATTGCATCATACTGGATGATCTTATTTTTTAATCAATCAAAATATTGTGACATCACTTTTTTACTAGGAAACCCCAGCAATAATTAGTGAGATTAAATGCAATATTGATGATATTTTGATTTATTTTTTTCGTACGACTTACACATTATTAGGGATCTTGTAACCAATATACAATCACAATATATAAATTACAAAAAAAATTGTTTAACCCTCTCCAGTGCAGTATCTCATGTTTTTTTATAAGGGCAAATTACATCATCAAGTTTTAAAAAATTCTATCAGATCTTTCCTCTAGTATCATCTCAAAATAAAATTATAACTGAAAAGTTCAGATTTAGAATTTTGTTTTGACATCTGTTTCACATAAAGTAATAAAAAAATCAAAATGCTAATTCTAATTTATATTTTTATCTTCTCTCTCCCTACTTGTAATTTTTTGGGGAAAATTAAATATTTAAGCTTTCCACCTGCATAGATAAAACTTGTCAACATAACATACAAAACAAAGCTACAAGTCTGTGATTTTAGTACATGTTTTCTTCATTTATAGTTCAAATAGTGTGAAAACTGAATTTTTAAAATTGGTGGTTTCTAAAACTGTAAAATTCAACTCACTGCATGTTATTGCTTTACAGCCTCCACTAAAAAAATCATAAATATTAAATCTTTAAGCTGGGATTAATTTCTTTTTTCACAATCTTTTTACCACAGAGCTCTCTTTCTTCTTTATATAAACTGCATATCTCCAAGATTTTAATTTAGTTATAAACTGGAAAAGTTTAAACTATTATCATCATTTCTTGTTAGTAGCAGGACTGTTACACTGCTCTGTTAACAAGCATGAATTGGGGCCTAGGACCTGGTATAGCATAACATAAAAACATAACTAAACGTATTAAAGATTACAGTTTATACAGAACTGAGAATACTGTTGTAAGCTATACTTTCAATTGCAGAATTGAGGAAAAAACAATTATATTTTTCACAAAAACTTCATTTATTCATGACCATGGTTTTGCCATGATATTTGATGTCTTTACTGGAGAAACCATGGTCATGAATAAATAAAGTTTTTGTGAAAAATATAATTGTTTTGTTTTTCCTCAATTCTGAATTATAGTTTCACCAAGTATTGATGGTTTCAAGTATCAACTATACTTTCAATGTTATAATTTAGTTGTTTGCTACAGAGATCTGCTAATCACGATGATGATGCTAGATTTAAAGAATTCATGAAAATAAAGTTCATGACAGAAATTTTGTGGAATTTGGAGAAACAACAAAACATTATAAATACAAGTAATCAGAGTGTGATGATCAATGAAGTTTATAGTAAGCAATTCAGTTTAGGGTTTGTGGTAAGAGTTATATCTATTCTGCTGTTCAGTTACTTGGTGAGTTACATGTTTGCTTATCTATCAAAACTAATTAAGCTAGGCATACATTTCACAATTTATACTGAAATATCGTATCTGAAGTGAGGCCTATATTTAGTTGCAAAGTTTATCTGGAAAAGTTTATTTATGAAATTATACCAACAAGTGAATATGGCTGTAACATAGTTACTAAAGAAATTAATTCATTCATTACTGTGATGTGGACTAAACTTTGTAATATTTTTACCAAATAATCCAAAAGAACCCACTCAAGGACAGAATACATTAAAACAGTATAAAATTATATTTCATTCACTATGAATAAATAAAAGTCTCTTGAATCATTTCTAGCAAGTTAAACCTTACCTGTCTTCTTCTGTACAAGTCATACTTTTGTTTTACCTTCCAGAGTACAGCAGCAATGACAAGAAGTGTAAGGAAACAGCTGAAAATATCAGATGAGAGCCAAAGTTTACCTTTTCACTTACACAGGCACTTTTTCTTATCCTGCTTGCTAATGTCATTGCAAACTTCTGTACCTAAAATTACTCTTTACTATCTTGAATTATAGATGGAGAAATATTAAACAGGGATAACTAAACTTAAATATCAGGTTTAAGTGGTATAATAAAATATTGCACAATGATGTAAAATTAGTAACACATTAAACAGGTTATTTGCTAAAACCTAAACTTATCAATTTTAATAAATGTGACATACTGATTTTGGAAGATGCATCAATAAAAACTTCAGAATATTGACAAATTAATAATTAAATATTGGACTTAATAAATTCATCCTTTTTTTTGTTTTGCTGGTGGAAGGTTACATAAATACAATAACTTGAATCAGCCAGTTATGATGACAAAAACAAATTATTAAAATTGTATATGCATATCTCAGATTTTACAGTTAGTTAGTCAAATTATCCCACAGCTTTATAAAATAAAATAGCAAGCAACTAAGTGCTTATTTCGAAATTGGTCAGAATACACTGAACATAACAAAAAACTGGTTGTATGGTAAGTTGATCTTATTATAGATTTATAAAATATTTCTATTTAGTTTTATTAGTTCCTCTAGTTCAAAGAGTCCATGAGTGAAAGCAAAGGAGAATATGTTATGTTATCCAGACTACATCTGCTACGTCCAGTATCAACAATGCAAAAGTTCATTTACAGCAAAATTAAATGAACAACATACATATATATATATATATATATAGCAGTTGAAATACTAAAATTATAACTTAATTGTTTAAACTTTCCTATTTTATCGTATGGAGTAAATTCCTTGTAGAAAGTTATGCTACATGCTTATGTATCACACAATCTAAACCAACCAAATATTTTCTCTATTTTTTTGCAATTTATCTTTAAGAATTGAAATCGACATTTTAACTCTATCACTACGGGCTTGGACCCAAGTTCATGGTACCAAATTGACCTTCGTAGTTGGCATACTGTAACTTCTAATATGTTTGGTGTATCTTAAGAATATTTTGTAAGTTTTCAGTAATCATTAAGGGTCATTTGTAGACAAAAAATCAGAATTTGTACTGAAGAATTTTCACTAAACATTTCTCCATGAAGTCAAAGTGTTGACTTCTTTGAGTGCAAAGTAATTTTCATGTTAAGATTAAAAATACTATTCTTTGTCTCAAAAATCTTAAATTTCATTTGTGTAATCTCTAAAACCTTCTAAATACATTTCAAACGTTTTATTCAGTAAAACTTTATATCTTATCTGTTATTTTCTCTACTCTAACTCTATAAAAGGTTGGCCAATTTGACCGATCTCATAAGTACAAAAATAAAAATTGAAATAAATCTAAATTACCTTTTTTTATTCTTTCTAGAATGACTTCAAAACTACATTTATTTATCCTAAATGGCTTTAAACGTGTAACAGTATACATTTGTTTATACTTAAATTTTATTTTTTTATTGACCTTTGAATCCTGTCTAATATTCTTGCCACACAAGTTCTAAATCACTTAGCACACATGTAGCTCATGTTACCATAATGAACTACATAACACACGGGCTACTCACAAGTGTACCTTGTGAAACATTTTTATTCTTCTTAATGTTATTCTTTATTTTACCTAATTCAACCTAAAAAAAGTTTATAATTTTGAAATAGTAGTGACTTTTATATTAAAAAATAACGAAAGTACAAGAAAAATAAGAAATAAAGTACTTACCTGTTGACTTTCGATGAAACTTAACCCTACTTTTTAATACTAATGCCATTACTTCACTAAATAATTTTTTACTTAATCACATAATGCATCAAAGAACACAGAAAAATAACATGCATAAAGCAGACAATGTCCCATAACTATCACAGTTTTTCTGGCTTTCTAACTATGAGACAAGAGCTGTTAAAAATTAAGCTAAGCTAAGCTAGTTGATGTGTTTCCTGTGGGAATAAAGTTTGAACTGGAAGCAACATAGACAATTCTCTGTATGGAAAACAATGTGATATAAAACATCAATTGATAGATTAAAACTTTGGCTTTCTATAGGTTATAAATAATATAGTAAGAAATGTCAAAGAAAACTATTGGCAATTTCCGAAAAGAAAATGTGACAGGTGGGTGTGGCAAGAGGGTTTTTATTTTCTAGGTTATGGCTCTGTGACCAAATAAGATCAAAGGCTATAAAAAGTATGCTTTCCCTTAGCAATGACAACATCATAATGAGTAATTTGCATTAATTTTCTTAATTCTCAGAGGGGTGGTAAATAAATTTAAGAAGAGGGGAATACCTAGATAGGAAATATCACAATTCTCATACTAGAGAAACAGGATTTTTTTAAATATTGACTTATAAAATTAAGTAATATAATATTAAAACAAGGATTGTTAGCTATGTTTTAATGCCAAGTTTATTCATATAGCATGATAAGAAAGTACTTTAATTAAATTTTGAATGTAACTCACTAAAATCTCTTGACATGAGCAAGAAAAAGATGACAGAAGTGAAAGTGTTAATCAAACCTTCAGATGTACAAAAACTTACCTAGAAAACGTGATGAAGAACTGGAGAAGGTCAAGAGATTTGTGCTGGGAGAAGGAGATTTCTATGATGATTGGAGTCTTGAAGTTGAAAACATACACAAAAAATGTTGTATTCTTTGCACCAAAATAATGCTGTTTATGAGCAAAGTGAAGCTTGGTTTTATTACATTCATGAAATACTAGCAAAGGCTGCTCAGGCAGTAAAGCTGTAAAAAACAATCTATGATTAGTAAATAATTTCTCTCATATAAACACTAAATGTAAAACAAATTAAAACTTAGAATGTTAAAACAGATGAGATACTCAATATTGTACATTTTGACTTTCACTTAGCTAGAAAAATAAAGACAAAGTAAAATGTATTTAGAAAGAAACAAAATTTATCTAAAAAAATTTCATAATTATTTGAATAAAATAAAATTAGATCTTAACTACCTATATCTATATATACACCTGGAAAAAAGTTAAGCACCCCCAAATATTTTTCAGGATTGCTTATTGAAAATAAGGTTTAATTTTCATGATGTTGAACAATGTTCATAATTTC